GCGGAAAATGATGCCTTCAGAATGTACTCATGACTGGCACAGGTAGATGAAAATGGTTTGTCTCATTTAACCGACAGTACTAATCACTGTAATAACTATTTTACCAGAAAATAAAATTGGCAGCCATCTGTGATTAGTGCATTAACACATTTCCTGGTTTATTCCCTGAGGCAGTTATCATCAGATCATCCTTTGTGTGATATCTAAATGCACTGTCTTCTCATGATGAATTTCTTTTTAGACCTGAGAAATCACCTTGATTAAATCGCCTTACTTGCAATTAGTTTGAAGGCTTCATTCATGATGAGGCAGGAGTGGGAGGTGAAAGACAGCCCTCTCTCAATTCTGTCATATGGGCCCCCAAAGCCCACAGCTGGTGCCGAGTCTCATCAGGTTGTTCTTGAGTTCTGATTTTCTGCTTCCAGTTCTAATCCCTCTCTGCAGGAGGATTCAAACCTACTCCCCAAGGCAGGGTGGAGATGCAGATGCTGACACACACATACCTGCCCCCAACACTACCCTCCTCATTTCCCCCTCTCCTCACAGGAGCCTCTATGCAAAAACTACCCCTTTCTCAAAACACAAAACAAATTCGTTAATAAGATAGAGAGCTCAGCTGCAGGCTGTTGCATATATTTCTAGCCAAGATTGATACATCCAACAGCCTCCCAGATTTGCTACTAGGATGTACAATCTACAACCATCTCCAAGATGCCATGCCCCCGCACGAGCAGTTCATGTCTCTCTCACCGGCCCAAATCCATCTATACCCCTGCTCCTCCCCAAAACAAGTATTTTCAGAGACAGGGTCTTTGTCTCTTGCCCAGGCTGAGTGCAGTGGCATGATCACAGCTCACTGCAACCTCAAACTCCTGGGTTCAAGTGATCCTCCCACTTCAGCCTTCTAAGTAGCTGGTGTTACAGGTATACACCATCATGCCCAGCTAATTTAAAATTTTTTTGTAGAGATCAGGTCTCACTATATTGCCTAGGCTGGTCTTGAACTCCTGGCCTCAAGTGATCCTCCCGCCTTAGCTTCCCAAAGTGCTGGGATTACAGGTATGCTGTGCCTGGCCTATCCCATATTTTTTATCTCCAGCATTCTTGCTATAAACCAGTGTTTTTCTAGACCCTCTCCCTCTCTCTCTTCAGCCCTAAACTGTCATTATGTCCAGTCATTTTATTTCTCATTTCTGAGTTCTATTTGCCTGTGTCACTGGACACATTGACTTCTGTGTTGCCCACCTCTAATTCATTCTCCAGAGGGAGGTTTTTAAAACCCAGATTGGATTAATTCATTTCTCTGCTCCCAATTCTTTATTATCTTTTATTTATTTTTGTATTTCAAAAACGATTAGTTTTTGAAGGTATAATTGACACACAATAAACTGTACATATTTATAGTGTACATTTTAGTAAACTCTGGTATCTGTACACCATAGAAGCATCAGCACAATCAAGATTGTGCCCCTTTGAAATCTCCCCTCCCCTCTGCCGTCTACCCAATCCCAGTCTCCAGAGAGCCACTGTTCTGCTATCACTGTAGATAAGTTGGTATTTTTTAGAGTTTATATAAATGGAATCACAGGCTATGTGATCTTTTTGTCTTCTTTTCCTCAGCATGATTATTTTGAAAATCATCCATGTTGTTGCACTCATCAAGTGTTCATTTCTCTTTTATTACTGAGTCATATTCCATGGTGGAAATGTTCCAGTTTTTTTTTTTTTTTTTGCCAATCAGTTTGAGCTAATCAGGTTGCTCAGGTTAGCCTTGAACTGATGACCTTGCCTTCGCGAGCGCCATGAGCTCCGGCGGGAGCCACTTTGGACCCCAATGTTCCAGTTTTTTTGACCCATTCACCTGTGATGGACATTTGGGTTGTTTCTGGGTTTGGGCTGTTACAAATAAAGATGCTGGCTGGGCGTGGTGGCTCACGCCTATAATCCCAGCACTTTGGGAGGCCAAGGTGGGCAAATCACGAGCTCAGGAGTTCAAGACCAGCCTGGCCAACATGGTGAAACACTGTCTCCACAAAAAATACAAAAATTAGCTGGGTGTGATGGCAGGCACCTGTAATCCCAGCTACTCGGGAGGCTGAAGCAGGAGAATCACTTGAACCTGGGAGGTAGAGGTTGCAGTGAGCCAAGATCGTGCTATTGCACTCCCGCCTGGTAATAAGAGCAAGACTCCATCTCAAAAACAACAACAGAACAAAATGAATATTTGTGTATAAGTATATGGACATGTGCTCGCTTCGGCAGCCCGTATACTAAAATTGGAACGATACAGAGAAGATTAGCATGGCCCCTGCACAAGGATGACACGCAAATTCGTGAAGTATATGGATATGTACTTTCTTTTCTCTTGGTAAAATACCTATAAGTTAAATGTCTAAGCTATATGGTGCATGTATATTTATTTAACTTTTTTACAAGTCCTGCTTGAAATTCTTGTTCTTTGTGCTTTGAGGATAAAATCTAAACCCTTCAGCACCACCTGCAGGGGCCTCCATGACCAGGCTCCTGAGCCAGGCTCCAGCCACACTGTCCTTTCCTAAATCCTCCAGTTCCCTGTGCATTCTCCTCCTGGAACTCGCAGAAATGATCTCAGTATGCTGAACTTATGGGTAACTTCTTGCTGCTCTGCATACACAGTGGTCACAGCACTTATCACCTGGCATTGTTTCTGTTAGATCACTGCTTCTGATGGCTTCACCAGTGGTACCAGAGAGCAAAGCCTGTAGTTTTCAACTTGGTACATAAACGGCTTTTGTACATCCCATGTTTTCATTCGGAAGGTTTTCTTTTTTTCATTATAAATAATCATTAAGCATCTTTGGAGGTATTGGTGAAGGTGGTGGATTGAAGATATGGATCTCATTTTGTGCCTTCCTGAAACTCACTAAAATGACAGTAAAGAGATGTAAAAAATGGTTTAAAACCACAAAGATGGGAAGAACAGAAAAAAGACAATAATAGAAAAGAACTGGGGTTTAGGAAGCAGACAGACATGTAATAACTCACTTAGCATGCCAAGGAAAGCTCAATTTGATTAGCAGTAGTGAAAACTGAGAACCACCCTGGGTACTGCATGAGCCTTGGAATGCTCCGGAGTTGGTGGCTTGGTACCTCAGTAAGTCCTTCATCTTCATAAAGAGTAAATTAATAGACTGTTTGATATGAATACATGTGTTAAAAAGAGAGACAATTGGGAGTGAGTTGAATAAATGATAATATGTGACCTAAGGAAATGAAAAAGCATGACAATTATTAACTAGGGGAAAAAGAAGAAATTGTAATAGCTTAATATATGGCTCAGTTCTTCATAGCAGACACAGTCATTAAATAGACATATAATTGTCTATATATGTCTATATAGACACTTGAGCCACCGCGCCCGGCCCCCAAAGCATTTTTATAAGGTTTATGCTTTCAGAATAAATTTTCAAGAAGTAAAACCGGCTGGGCGCGGTGGCTCAAGTCTGTAACCCCAGCACCTTGGGAGGCCAAGGCGGGAGAATCATGAGGTGAAGAGATCGAGATCATCCTGGTCAACATGGTGAAACCCCGTCTCTACTAAAAATACAAAAACTTACCTGGGCATGGTGGCACCTGCCTGTAATCCCAGCTACTCAGGATGCTGAGGCAGGAGAATCGCCTGAACCCAGGAGGTGGAGGTTGTGGTGAGCCGAGATTGTGCCATTGCACTCCAGCCTGGGTAACAAGCGCGAAACTCCGTCTCAAAAAAAAAAAAAAAAAAAAAAAAGTAAAACCACCGCAACAACAATCTCCAGAAGTAAAACTACTGGGTCAAAGAGTATCATCAACACGTTGCCAAGCTGCTTATCTTAAACTATCCACAGCATGTTTGCATCCACTATTTTATGTGACAGGATGCCTCATGCAACTCTGAGATTGATATGAGGAAGAGAAAAGAGATTCACTGCTGTTTTAGAGACAAGATCATTGGGAGCTAAGTTTCCAAGCTCTTACAGTTGGAACAACAGCCAGAAGTAAAATGCATGTTTCCCTACTTTCTGGTTGATTTCTTTTCTCACTGTGCCCCGCAAATGGTGTGAAACTCAGGCCGAACCTATCTCTGCTACTTTCCTTGCCTGACGTCTTAGCCTTTATCTGTTAGAGGTTCCCTGCCACAGTGCCTTTTCCCTTTGCTGGGGGCTTGTCTATGTTAGAAGGAAAGTAAGACCTCTCTCTCTTTTTTTTTTGAGATGGAGTTTCGCTCTTGTTGCCCAGGCTGGAGTGCAATGGCTCGATCTTGGCTCACTGCAACCTCCGCCTCCCAGGTTCAAGCGATTCTCCTGCCTCAGCCTCCCAAGTAGGGATTACAGGCACCCACAACCATGTTTGGCTAGTTTCTGTATTTTTAGTAGAGAAGGGGTTTCATCATGTTGGCCAGGCTGGTCGTGAACTCCTAATCTCAGATGATCCACCCACCTCAGCCTCCTCCCAAAGTGCTGGGATTACAGGTGTGAGCTGCTGCACCTGGCCGAAAGTAAGACCTCGCTAGCAGCCCAAGGACCTCACATCATGAAACCTTCTAAGTCTAGTTTAGGAGGCTTCTATTACCAAAAAAAAAAAAAAAAAAAAAAGGAAAAAAAAATTTTAAAAGGAAACCTTCTAAGTCTCAAGAGAAGAAAGGGTAAGACAAGGAAAAGAAGAGAAAGACAAAGTGGAGTAAGCTCAGTTAGAATCTGAGACAGGAACCATGAGAAGATGCACAAGAAGCAAACAGGAGAAAACTGTGGTTTTGTGGTTTTGGACTTCAGAGCTTAAGATGAGATGTGGGAGCTGAAGACAGTAAAGGGATTTGACTTAGAGACTGTTAGGGTCATGGTGTGGCCTTTCTGTACTCAGATATACTTTGAACTGTCTTGAACTGTTAAATCTACTTAGTGATGTCCATTCACTTTTCAAGATAAAACTAAACAATAATTTGTGTTTTCTCTTTTCTTTTTACTTTTCAAATGAATAATAAAAAGCAACTTCAAATGAGCATTTTTCAACCACAGAAGAAAGTAAGTCCTGCTTTGCCCAACCAAAGCCATGTACACTGGGAAGAGAATCTACCCTTGACGGCAATGTACAAAGGGAAACCCATTCTCCATTACAAAAGCTCAAGGATTCAGCAGAGCCTACAGCTAATGGTGTTAAACCCCTTCAGGAACAGCCCCTGGCCAAGGATGTAGCCCCTGGAAGGGATGCCGTAGACCAATCAGGGTCCACAGAAAAGACCCAGCCTGGAGAGGGACCGGAGGAATCAGGGCCGCCTCAGCCAGGTAGCAAAAAGGATGCCCCAGCAGGGGAAGGAAAGAAGAAAGATGCAGGAGCAGGGACGAAGGCTGAGCCTCTAAAAGGAAATGCTGAGGCTGAGCCTTTAGGACCAGAAGCCAAGGGTCAGCCTTTGCAGACAGCAGGAAAGAAGCACTCCCTCAGAGCAGGGGAGGACACTGAGAATCCACAAACTGCTGCAGAGATGAAGCTTCTAGGAACAACTGAGAACATTCTGCCTCTGCAAACAGCTGGAGAGCTACAACCTCAGGGTGCAATGGGAGAGGATGAGCAGGCTTTGCTTCTAGAAACCATTTCTAAAGAGAATGAATCTCCAGAAATATTGGAAGGAAGCCAGTTTGTGGAAACAGCTGAAGAGCAGCAACTTCAGGCAACATTGAGAAAAGAGGAGCAGCTCCAGCTTCTGGAAACAATTCCCAAAGAGAATGTAACACCAGAAGTATTGGACAGAAGTCAACTTGTGGAAAAGCCTTTTATGAATGATCCACTCCATAAAAGTCCTGAAGGTCCAGGAAACATGGAGCAGATTCGACCTGAAGGAATAGTTGGAGGTATGGAGCGTCCAGCACGAAATGTAGAGACAGGAGCAGATGTGGAAATGGTAAGGAACATCCACACTAACGAAGAGGACCAACGCATTGAAGGTAAAAGTTAGTCTGGAAACCTTCTGGATGTTTAGATGTGCTCCATAGGAGACCAGCTCCAGGGGGTGGGTGGGGTGACTGATAAACAGTCCCTGAAGTCACTTTCAGGTGGTTGAAGTTCATTTCACCAAGCCAAAACAGCTTCTATGCCTGGGAAACAGGCATTCCATCAATGCTCAGCTTGTCAGCCAAACTTTTCTGAAACATCATCTCTGTCCAAAATGTTCACCCAGAGTTAAATAGTATCAAACATTGAAGGCAACATGTGAAACTTTCTGAAGTTTTTCAAGTTGATGCTTCATCAGGCCCCATGTATGAAGTAAGGATCCAAAGTCAAGGTGAATCGATGATTATTGGAGGAATTCACCTTCCAGTGAAAGGATATATACATAATGGATCTGAGAATGTTATCTTCATCTTTGTGAATCTTATCTTAGAAAATGACTGTCAGGGCAGGTGCAGTGGCTGGCACCTGTAATCCCAGCACTTCAGGAGGCAGAGGTGGGAGGATAGCTTAAGCCCAGCAGTTCATGATCTGCCTGGACAACATAGCGAGACCTCGTTCTCTTAAAATAAAAAAAAAAAATAAGAAGAATGTGACTGTCAGTCTGCTCTTGTTCTTCTGTAGTTTTAAAAATCTTTATGAGAAGACTAGAGAAAATGTGCTATGTCTTGACATATGGTGTTTTAAAATTTTAAATGTATTTTACCAGCATAAAACAAATGATGTTTACACTATTCTTTATTGGTGTTATAGTTTAAAAAAATATTTTCTTCTGGGGCATGATTTACATTTTGGTCATTTTTAGCTTCACAGTTCAGTATAATTAAGTGAAGCATTCATTATAATCATCCATCTGTTGTTCTTAAATTCTTTCTTTTTAAAAAAAAATTTTTTTTGAGACAGAGTCTCACTCTGTCACCCAGGCTGGAGTGCAGTGACGAGAACTTGGCTCACTACAACCTCTGCCTTCTGGGTTCAAGAGATTCTCCCACCTTAGCCTCCTGAGTAGCTGGGACTACAGGCGCACACCACCATGCCTGGCTACTTTTTGTATTTTTAGTAGACAGGGTTTCACTATATTGGCTAGGCTGGTCTCGAACTCCTGACCTCATGATCCATTTGCCTCACCCTCCCAAAGTGCTGGGATTACAGGCTTAAGCCACTGCGCCAATTCTTTCACTTAACTCAGCACTTTTTGCATGTCTAAACATATGCTGGGTGCTGAGATGCAGACTAAGAGTCTCTGTCCTCAAGGGGCTCCCTGTCTAGTGGGGGAGGGCAGGATGTGCATGCATCACCACAGTCTGTTGCAGGAATTGCTTTCCTAAAGGCGTGTAAGAAGGGCTCTGGGAACAACATGGGAGAGGCAGTAAAAGCAGGTTGTTTTTACATCGGGATTGGCGAACTCAAGTCTTTAGGCCTAGGATACTGAAAATGAGTGAGGAGAGGGACATACGCCATACCGTGGGAGCCCAGGGAACCTTGGCAAACAGGAGAGCACAGCCTTGCTGAAAGAAGCAGCTCTGTGCAGCTCCAGCCATGGAACTAGGGCCAATGCCGCCAAGGCCAACTTCTCAGCAAAACAGGGTTGTGTGTGCAATGTCCAACCTTGTCAATATTGGCTGTCTGCAAATTTTTTTTTTTTAAAGATGGGGTTTCACCATGATGGCCAGGCTGGTCTTGAACTCCTGACCTCAGGTGATCTGCCTACCTCGGCCTCCCAAAGTGCTAGGATTACAGGCTTGAGCCACTGCACCCAGCCCTGTAAATGTTTAATGATTGTTTTTGAACACATAGTGGCCAAGCAAGACAGGTTTTTGGGCACCCCATCACTCTTTAATTTAGATATGAATGAAATTTTCCCTCCCTCCCTCCCTTTCTTCCTTCCTTTCTTCCTTCCTCCCTCCCTCTCTTCCTCTCTTTCTCTTTCCTTCTCCCCTGGCCCGCCCTTGGATTTACATACCAATGAAACTTTCCTTCCCCTCCCCTTCCCTCTTTCAACAGAATTTTGCTCTTGTTGCCCAGGCTTGAGTACAATGGCACCATCTCGGCTCACCACAGCCCCCGCCTCCTGGGTTCAAGCAATTCTCCTGCCTCAGCCTTCCCAGTAGCTGGGATTACAAGCATGCTCCAACACACCTGGCTAATTTGGTATTTCTAGTAGAGACAGAGTTTCTCCATGTTGGTCAGGCTGGTCTCAAACTCCGGACCTCAGGTGATCCACCTGCCTCGGCCTCCCAGAGTGCTGGGATTACAGGCATGAGCCACTGTGCCCAGCCTCTTTCTTTGGGCTCAAGGGATCCTCCTGTCCCAGTTCTCAAGTAGCCAGGAGTACAAGACTGTGCCACCATGCCTGGCTAATTTTTTTCTTTTTCTTTTTTTTTTTTTGAGACAGAGTCTTAATCTGTCATCCAGGCTGGAGTGCAATGGCATGATATCGGCTCACTGCAACCTCCGCCTCCCAGGTTCGAGAGATCTCTTGGTTCAGCCTCCTGAGTAGCTGGGATTACAGGTGCGTGCCACCACGCCCAGCTAATTTTTGTATTTTTAGTAGAGACAGGGTTTCAACATCTTGGCCAGACTGGTCTCGAACTCCTGACCTTGTGATCCACCCGCCTCGACCTCCCAAAGTGCTGGGATTACAGACATGAGCCACTGCGCCCGGCCAACCTGGCTAATTTTTTTCTTTTAAAAAAACATTATTACCTTTTTTTGAGACAGGGTCTTGCTCTGTTACCCAAGCTGGAGTACAGTGGTGTATTCTTAGCTCACTGTAACCTCTGCCTCCCAGGCTCAATCCTTTCTCCCTCTTTAGCCTCCTGAGTAGCTGGGTGCTACCATGCCTGGCTAATCTTTGTATTTTTTGTATAGACAAGGTTTCATCATGTTGCCCAGGCTGGTCTTGGACTTCTGGGCTAAAGCAATCTGCTTGCCTCAGCTACCCAAAGTGCTGGGATTATAGGCATGAGCAACCACCCCCAGCTGCCCAGCTAATCTTTGAAAACTATTTTGTAAAGACAGATGGTCTCATTGCCCAGGCTGGTCTTGAACTCCTGGCCTCAAGTGATCCTCTTGCCTTAGCTTCCCAAAGCATTGGGATTACAGGTGTGAGCCATTATGCCTGGCCATGAAACTTTCAATTGTCATATGTTCTACTGCCATTTCTTTGGTAATTTTGCATCCTGATTTTATAGAGAGAATTTATTTCGTAAGAGTATGACAAAACTCGAGATGTTAACTGATCAACACCAGCCATTCAGAGGCTCTAAGAGGATTGAGATGATTACCTTTCTTTCTCTCTCTCTCTTTTTCTTTTTCTTTCTTTCTTTTCTTTCTCTTTTTTCTTTCTCTCTCTCTTTCTTTATTTCTTCTTTTCTTTTCTTTTCCTTCTTCTCTTCTCTTTTTTCTTTTCTTGTCTCACTCTTTTGCCCAGACTGGAGTGTACTGGCATGATCTCAGCTCACTGCAATCTCTGCCCCCTGGTTTCAAGTGATTCTCCTGCCTCAGCCTCCCGAGTAGCTGGGATTACAGGCTTGTGCCACCACACCCAGCTTATTTTTGTATTTTTAGTAGAGACGGGGTTTTATCACTTTGGGCCAGGCTGGTCTCGAACTCCTGACCTCAGGTGATCCGCCCACCTCAGCCTCCCAAAGTGTGGGATTACAGGTGTGAGCCACTGCACCTGGCTGAGATGATAACTTTTCTTGATTCCCCCCTGGGGAAACTTACTACTTAGAACTAAAGATCAGGAACTGTCCCCACTGGAGACAAGCTGTGGGATAATTTATGTTAATTCTAAATGAGTGTCTCTTAGTATCTCTTTGATTACTTTTCCAGGTGAGACAGGGGAAAAGGTGGAAACAGAGATGGAGAATGAAAAAGTGAGTGAAGGGACTGAAACCAAAGAAGAAGAAACAGGAGAAGCGGTGGACTTTTCAGCAGCCACATAGGTATGGTGACAGAAGAGTGAACTGACACAGCATGTTATCATAGAGATGACAAAGATGGTAGTGAAGCTTGTGGTTATGTATCTTATCTTTCTACATCTATATGTTTTCTATAAGGAGTGTGGTTATAGAGAGACTGTTGGAACCATGAGAAGGATATTTCCATATTCTTGATTATTTTGTTCTGCAAAACTGCTAAGCCATAAACAGTTTTCCCAGCTACTTACAATGGCTATACATTTAAAACTATAAAAGTCAGAGCCAATAAAAATTATGTGATTATTTAAGAGTGTGAGGGTGACTTTCTTCATTGTGGCCATGAGTCCATTCAATACAGAAAATGAGACCCTAAAAAGAAGGCGTAAACCTTTGGGTACAGGTGGCTGGAGAAAGGAATTAGTAAATTTTAGGGAACTGACAATAATAAAGTCACACAGTTTTAATCATGATGCCATGAGAATGAACAACAGCTAAAATAATAGGATGAGTTATACCAAATATTTCTGTCCTGTTACAGAATTTAGAGCTGATAAGAACCTTAGGAAGTATGTCATCTACATACTTGCTCACCTTTAAGGTTGTCAACTATCACAGATCCTTATTTATCATGGAATATTAAACATGTCAACAGAATCCTTTTCAAAGGATTGCAAACTCTGGTGCTATTGAAAGGTCAGACATTTTTTACAATGAAAGGCTACACATTTTCCATGTGCCATTTTGAATCAGCTGTTGATTTTATACTCACATGAGGTTTTTCAATTGATGTTATACTTTAGAATAACATTAAAAGTATTTTAAGGCCAGGCACAGTGGCTCATGCCTGTAATCCCAGCACTTTGGGAGGTCGAGGCGGGTGGATCAGGTCAGGAATCCAGCCTGGCCAAATAGTGAAACCCTAACTCTACTAAAAATACAAAAAATTAGCTGGGCGTGGTGGTGTGTGCCTGTAATCCCAGGTACTCGGGAGGCTGAGGCAGGAGAATCGCGTGAACTCGGGAGGTGGAGGTTGCAGTGAGCCAAAATTGTGCCATTGCACTTCAGTGCGGGCAATGGTTCGAGACTCTGTATCAAAAAATATATATATAAATTAGTTGCCTTTTTAATGTATTTTGGAGACAATAAACAGCAAGGATTAAAACCCAGATTGTTGCTTATGTGGAATCTATTCTTGGGCTCTTTTTTTTTTTTTTTGAGACAGAATCTTGCTCTGTCACCCAGGCTGGAGTGCAATGGCGCTATCTCGGCTCACTGCAAACTCCAGCTCCCGGGTTCAAGCTGGGATTACAGGCATCTGTCACCACACCCAGCTAATTTTTGTATTTTTATAGAGACAGGGTTTTACTATGCTAGCCAGGCTGGTGTTGAACTCCTGACCTCATGATCCTCCCGCCTTGGCCTCCCAAAGTGTTGGGATTACAGGAGTGAGCCACTGTGCCCAGCTGCTCTGTTCTTTTTCAATTTAATGTGAGGCTTCAGCAGTGAAAAAAGGCTAAGAAATCAAGATTTTAGAAGCATTGATGACATTTATTTAGTGATGTACTGCAGAGTTAGTTTCTGAGAATTCTTCTGAAGTTGACCAGGTTTTGGCAGATGATTGTAAGTAATAAAAATAATAGCCAACTTTCCCACCAGTGAGTGCCTTGTGTTTATGAGTATCAGAATAGAATTCTGGAAACATTTGGTTTCTTTATCTTATTTGTAAATATGTATTTTTCTTTTTTTTAAAAAAATTCCTACTATTTCCTAAGTAAATATGTATTTTTAAGGTAACTACTCAGATGAATTAACTAATCTCTTTATTTTTTTTTTTTAATTTTTTGAGACAGGGTCTTACGCTGTTGCCCAGGCTGCTGTGTAGTGGTGTGATCATGGCTTACTGCAAGCTGGACTTCCTGGGCTCAGACCATCCTCCCACCTCACCTCCCCTGAGTAGCTGGGACTACAGGCATGTATTACCATGCCCAACTAATTTTTGTATTTTTAGTAGAGACAGCGTTTTGCCATGTTGTCCAGCTGGTCTCGAACTCCTGAGCTCGAGTGACCTGCCTTGGTCTCCCAAAGTGCTGGGACTACTGGGGTGAGCCACCTGGCCTACCTAGTTTCTTTTACTTTAGATTCTACATTAAAATAACTACTAAGATGGCCTATAATTAATTATAAGAATATAGGATACAGGGAAGAATATATTTTCTTGATTCTGATTTTAATATTAATTTATGTTCTGACTGTAAAGTGCTGAGGAGGACAATAAAAGGAGCTCCTTGAGGAGATGACACCATCCTTTCTGCAAAGCAAAGGCACTGGATTGTGATTGTATTGAAAGCAAGCACTGTGTTTTATGTATCTTTGAATTCAGGCATTTAGCTCCTTTAATGGAATGTGGTAGGTACTCGATAAATATTTGTTGAATCAATAAATTAATAGCAAACGCCATGGAGTCCCATTTATACTTAATTCATTAAGAAAAATACATATAAAATATAAATTTGGTTGGGCATGGTGGCTCGCGCCTATAATCCCAGCACTTTGGGAGGCTGAAGCGGGTGGATCTCTTGAGTCCAGGAGTTCAAAACCAGCCTGGGCAACATGGCGAGACCCCGTCTCTACAAAAAAATACAAAAACTTAGCTGGACATGATGGCATGTGCCTGTAGTCCCAGCTACTCAGGAGGCTGAGAGTCAAATCATTTATTCTCATGAAATTTTGGAAATTTATATAAATTTCTGGTACTTGCCCTACTTTTGTCTTGATCCTTTAATGTGGTTACTAAAACATTTTTGGAAACTCTATTTTTTATTCTTTTAGATAATATTAAGTTTTAACATTAAAATCTTATAAGGAAAATTAAAATATTTCACAATATATGAACATTTCAAAATTTAAATATTTCAAAATCTGTTAATTTTAAAAAGTAATAAATATCTATGGTAAAAGTCAAATATAGAAGGGCATAAAACAGATAGTGAAGTTTCCTTTCCATATCCTTTAGTCCTTCCATGAAAAAATAGTATTTCTTGTGTATACTTACAAAAAAAGTATATGTATATACCAGGCTATATGTATATGCTAAAATATAAGTGTATATTTACATATCTACATTTTAACGTTTTTTTTTTTTGAGATGAAGTTTTGCTCTGGTTGCCCAGGCTAAAGTGCAATGGCGCCAGCTCAGCTCACTGCAACCTCCACCTCCCGGGTTCAAATGATTCTCCTGGCTCAGCCTCCTGAGTAGCTGGGATTACAGGCATGTGCCACTATGCCAGGCTAATTTTGTATTTTCAGTAGAGATGAGGTTTCTCCATTTTAGTCAGGCTGGTCTCAAACTCCTGATCTCAGATCATCCCCCTGCCTGGGCCTCCCAAAGTGCTGGGATTATAGGCATGAACCACTGTGCCCTGGGGGTCTTGCTGTGTTGCCTAGGCTGGTCTTGAATTCTTGGCCTCAAGTGATCCTTCTGCCTCAGTCTCCCAAAGTGCTAGAATTACAGGCATGAGTCACTGGGACCAGCCTACATATCCACATTTAAAAACACAAATGATAATTTACACAGCCCTTGTACTGTGAAAGCTGCATGTAAAACCACTGATTGATCCTTTCCTATGTTAAAATGTTTTTCTTTTGCCTAAGACTGAGTCTTAACAGAGCATAATGTATTCTGACCCTAGGTCCCCAGACCCTGAAAGGTTTTGACCAGTTTTGCCTCCAGATTCAAAATGCGCAAGATGGACAAAAGATTTGAGTTGTTTAAATAGAGAAACTGCCAGTGGGGCTGGATTTTTCTAACCCTGAGTGCTGTGCAACCACTTTGTACCCCAGTTTGTGTTCTTTTAATTGAGATAATTTCAGGCCCAGTATGATGGCTCATGCTTGTAATCCCAGCACTTGGGGAGGCCGAGGTAGGCAGTTCATACGGTCAGAAGTTCAAGACCAGCCTGGCCAGCATAATAAAACCCTGTCTCTACTAAAAATACAGAAATTAGCCAGGTGTGGTGGCATTTGCCTGTAGTCCCAGCTACTCGGGAGGCTGAGGCAGGAGAATCATTTGAACCCAGGAGGTGGAGGTTGCAGTGAGCTGAGACTGTACCATTGCACTCCAGCATGGGCAACAGAGCAAGACTCCATCTCAAAAAAAAAAAAAGGTAATTTTATTATTTCTGTACCTAATTGGGATGGAAATGAACAAATTTCGCAACTCTCATTCTTAGGAGTGAGCATAACATTTGTATTTATCAGCAGGGCGTGCCAGTTTGCAAATACAGGAAATACCCAGAGCAGACTCAAAGTCTTGGCCAGAAGTGCCAACGCCCCGAGGCAGCCAGAGGGTAGAAATGTGTGGTTCAGTGACTGGGTGTGGTGGCCCACACCTGTAATCCCAGCCCTTTGGGAGGGAAACCACTTGAGCTCAGGAGTTTGGGACCAGCCCAGGCAACATAGCAAGACCCTGTCTCTACAAAAAATAAATAAATGTTTCAAACTATTACCTTACTGCTTTTTCCATTTAGACTTTGGAGTAAAAGCTCTTACCATATTTTGAGCAGTCAAAACACCCACACCACTCTGAACAAATGCTTTATTCCACATTGGGCCTTGAAGTAAGAATTACTTAAGAAAATGTTTCTTTCCACATTTAACTAATCAAAGAATATTGGATGGCCATGGGCAAATAAACCTAGTAGGGTTTACACTGTACTCTTTTGGCAAATACAATAGCTTGTTAGAGATGGCAAGTATCCTTTTTTTCTTTTTTTGTCACCCAGGCCGGAGTACAGTGGTATGTTCAGCTCACTGCAAACTCTGCCTCCTGGTTTTAAGTGATTCTCCTACCTCAGCCTCCCAAGTAGCTGGGATTACAGGCAGGCACCACCATGCCTGGGTAATTTTTGTATTTTTAGTAGAGACAGGGTCTTAACTATGTTGGCCAGGCTGGCCTCGAACCCCTGAGCTCAAGCGATTCTCCTGCCTCAGCCTCCCAAAGTGCTGGGATTACAGGCTGAACCACCACACTTGGTCAAGTATCCTAGTCTAATGAAGATAGTTTGGTGATCCAATTCTGAAATTTTCACAAAGGCCAGTGATGTGGGCATCATAAAGCTATTCATTTGCTTGCACACATTTGTAAGGTAAAAGGAGAATGACCCTTCCCTTCTCTCTCCCCACACCAGATAGCAAGGCATGCCGTGTTTGAAATGTTGAAAGCATTTACTTATAAGATGTCATTACGTCTAAAACTATGTCAGCTTCTCACCTCTCCAGAGTTTATAAATTTATGTGTTTTGTTATAATCTCAGGGCTTTAATTGCCTATGCAGAATCAGTGTAATTTCAGAGAGCAGCTGACAAGCATGGATTTTCTCTTCCAGTTCCTGTCAGTACCAACAAAAGTTGGCAATAGTGATCCACGTCAGTCAAATTGCAGGCTTTTTGCTTCACTCGTCGGTACCAGCACTCAGCACATTTATGGGGGAGCACTTGAGGCGTTCAAAGTTGACAACCATATCATTATTCTGTGCATAATGAAAGAGGTCTCTGGACATCAAAGGCAGGCTTTAATAATCCCAAAGGTAGAAGGGCCAACCTACATTATTCTAAAGTACTCTTTCAGTTTAATAATATGCTACTGAAATTAATAAACATGCTACTCCCATCCACTACTGGGGATAGAGATAGGCAAACCTCACTAATTTTCCAAAAGAGTTCTGAGAAACCAACTGAGGATACCAGTTTTATTTTGAGATCTCTTTTTTTTTTCCTCATAGAATATAGATATTTCTAAAATTTCTTTTTTTTTTTTTTGACACAGAGTCTTGCTGTGTCGCCCATGCTGGAGTGCAATGGTGCCATCTCAGCTCACTGCAAACTTTGTCTCCTGGGTTCAAGCCATTCTCTTGCCTCAGCCTCCCAAGTAACTGGGACTACAGCCATGTGCCACCACTCCTGGCTAATTTTTGTATTTTTAGTAGAGATGGGGTTTCACCATGTTGACCAGGCTAGTCTTGAACTCCTGACCTCAAGTGATCCATCCGCCTGCCTCAGACTCCTAAAGTATTAGGATTACAGGTGTGAGCCATTGCACCCAGCCTTAGAATTTCTTCTTAATAAAAGTAAGTATAGTGATTCATACTATCACATAAATTTAAAAATAATGCATGTTGTAAAGAATTGATTTGTGTGACCCTGATTCTTTTTTTTTTTTTTTTTTTTAATTTTTTATTGGATTATAGGTTTTGGGGTACATGAGCAGAGCATGCGAGACAGTTGCGTAGGTACACACATGGCAGTGTGCTTTGCTTTTCTTCTCCCCTTCACCCACATTTGGCATTTCTCCCCAGGCTATCCCTCCCCACCTCCCCCTCCCACTGGCCCTCCCCTTTTCCCCCCAATAGACCCCAGTGTTTAGTACTCCCCTTTCTGTGTCCATGTGTTCTCATTTTTCATCACCCACCTATGAGTGAGAATATGCGGTGTTTCATTTTCTGTTCTTGTGTCAGTTTGCTGAGGATGATGTTCTCCAGATTCATCCATGTGTGTGACCCTGATTCTAAACACTTTTTTTTTTTGAGACAGAGTCTCACTCTGTCACCCAGGCTGGAGTGCAGTGGTGTGATCTTGGCTCACTGCAACCTCTGCTGCCTGGGTTCAAGCAATTCTCGTGCCTCAGTCTCCTGAGTAGCTGGGACTACATGTGCACGCCAGTACACCTGGTTAATTTTTGTATTTTTAGTAGAGACAGGGTTTCATCATGTTGGCCAGGCTGGTCTCAAACTCCTGACCACAGGTGATCCACCCGCCTCAGTCTCCCAAAGTGTTGAGATTCCAGGCATGAGCCACCATGCCCAGCCCTGATTTTAAACACTTTTCAAAGAGTCATTCAATGACAAGAGAAGAGGCTTTCGATGGCAGCTGTACTGTTGGAGAGTAGCTTTGGGTTGGAGAGGGGGTGTGGGCCCCAGCACCTCACTAGGAAGTCACAAGGCCCACTGGTGACTTTTCTAAACACCACCACAACCCTAGCAGTTCAGTGGAGAACAAAGTGATAGTGATTTGAAGTAGTTATTTAGTGGATCAGTATAGCTTATCTTCAGGTTTCTGGATATAAGAGTTTTTAAATAACATTTTTTTGGGGGTAGAAATAAACATTTTCTGCCTAGGTACTTATATATGTCACAGAATGACTATTTAGGCAATAATTACAAAAGAAGGATTTGTTATTAAAATAATTATTTTTTCTTAGTATAAAACAATACATGTTCATTGTAGAAACTTCAGAAAATATAAACTTTAAAAGATGAGATCTAAATATTACCCTGATCACTGTTAGCATGTTGATGTATATAAGAGATTATTTTTTTAGTTGCAACACTTGTTGCAATAACAAGTTAGTCAAAGGACAACTGTCAGTAGAACTTTGAGTCTGTTGAGTCAATGAGCACAGCACATCTGAATTTTCCTCATTAGAATCCACTGCAAGTAATAGGTTATAGAGAATGTTCCAGTACTACTTGCTATATTCATAAACATTGATTGGTGCTACAGAGAAAGCAACTCTGCAAAGTATATGAGCGCTTAGCTGACCATAATTTATGATTTATGCTAGATGAATAATTCACTGAAATGAAATCCTTTATTTGGAATTATTATTATTATTATTTTTGCCAATCAGTTTGAGCTTATGAGGTTGCTCAGGTTAGCCTTGAACTGATGACCTCGCCTTCGCGAGTGCCATGACCTCCGGCGGGAGCCACTTTGGACCCCTATTATTATTATTATTTTTGAGATGGAGTTTCACTCGATCCCCAGGCTGGAGTGCAATGGTGCGATCTCGGCTCACCGCAACCTCCGCCTCCTGGGTTCAGGCAGTTCTCCTGCCTCAGCCTCCTGAGTAGCTGGGATTACAGGCAGGCACCACCATGCCCAGCTAATTTTTTGTATTTTTAGTAGAGACGGGGTTTCACCATGTTGACCAGGATGGTCTTGATCTCTTGACCTCGTGATCCACCCACCTCAGCCTCCCAAAGTGCTGGGATTACAGGCTTGAGCCACCACGCCCGACCTGGAATTATTTTTAATGCTTTCCAATTGCTAAACAATGGGCAGAAGTGAGTATTGTAAGCTCTTCGCAGGGCAGGAAAGTCAGCTCACACTTCATTCAGCTCCCCTCAAGTCTAGCACAAATTTGTCATTCTATAAATATTTGTTGGTAACAAATGCTCTTTATTCTTACGTAATCATGGCAATTTCCTTATAACTAAAAATAATTGACTTTAAGGGAAATTGTGGCCAAAAGTTTAACGAAATTATTTGTACTGCTGGCTTAACATTTATAATTTTGATTGAATAAATGTTATTAGAACTAATAAAATGTTAAAAAGCTTATCTTGGTGTATATTTTATCTGAATTGTTTTACAGAAACATACCATTTCTTTTGATTCATTGAGTCCTTCAGAAAAAAAAAAGCAGACTTTAAGGTGATCTTGGGAGGCTGAGGTGGGAGGACTGCTGGAGGCCAGGAGTTCAAGACTACCTGGGCAACGTAATGAGACCCTGACTCTACAAAAACATACAAATATTAGTCAGGTGTGGTGGTATGTGCTGTAATCCCAGTTACTCAGGAGGCTGAAGGGGGAGGAATGCTTCAGCCAGGAGTTTGAGGCTGCCGTGAGATATGATATACCACTGCACTCCAGCCTGGGTCATGGAGTGAGAGCATCTCAAAATAAAATAAAAGACCAACATGCAATGTCCGCCCCCACCCCCAATATTTTAACAAATTCTAGTGAGTCTCCTTCAGTGTGGAAAAAACAACTCCAAGCCCAGACCCAGCCATAAATTAATTAACTTGGGTACCAGGAACTTATTTCCAGGTCTTTGATTCTAGAGTTTGGTTTTGAAGTCATGACCCATGTATAACTATTCCTCCTAGACCCAATCTGGCCAAGGTGTCTAATTTCCTGGCTTTGGCTTAGCTGGACTAATCAGAGGCTTCCCTGAGATTCTCCTGCCAGAGAGATCGGGAAATGGTTATCTTTCTGCTGGGGTTAGTGCACTCACAGCCTGTATCTGGGCTCTGCAGCATTTTCCCCCAACAGAGAGATGGAGCCGTGAGGTTTCTGGACTATGTGTGCCTAAAGCCAGCTGTAATCTGGCCTCTGTGACCTGAGTCTATGCATTTATCTTTTATCCCCACGTAATACTAGTTTGAGTTGGGTTTCTGTCACTTACTAATAAAAGACTCAATATTAAAAGTAGAACAAAAGTGACTTGTAAATGAACTGGAGAAAATAATAAATATAAGAGCAGAAATAAAGATATAATAGAAAGGATCAACAAAGCCAAAAAGTGGTTCTTTAAAAAGTTGATAAACTTCTCTTATAAAGAAAAAACAAAGAAGCCCTAATAAATCATATCAGAGATGAAAAGGGGGCACAGACATAGCAGAGATTAAAAAGATGTGTACAAATATGAAAATTTACATGCAAATTCTGCAACACTGTAAATGACCAAAACTGCGGAAGACCAGAAAGTTTAAATAAGGTTTCAGGTAATAGTTGGCTAAAACTGTTGAAAAAAATAAACGGTTTAAGTGTATGAAGTCAGAAGTGGGCTTTGGGAAATGAAATAATTGGAGATTTTAACTTTACCCCCTGCCATTAGGCAATATGTTTTAATGTATAAACTGTTAAGAAATAAGTGAACAAAATCACACCAAAGGAAATCTGCATGTCTATTTTATTTCCGTTAGAAAAATATTATCTGTATAACATTTTGGTCCACTTTCTTCTCCTTGACCTCAAATTTAAACCCTTTAATTTTACTCAGGAAAAGCAGAATCACATACCTAACATGAGAATTAAATCGTTCACATCATTAGTTTGAATTAGATATGTTCTTGATTATTTCTCAGGAATAATAAGTCTTCTTTCCTGCCTGTTACTTCTCATTTATTTATTGAGTAACTATGTAATGAGTATCTCTTTCCTGTATTCAGGAATACAGGTGCACACAGGTGTAATTCAAAACAGTAACTGGATTCCTTCTCTAATCTTCAGTTCATGTTCAACTCTCCCTATTGTATGGTATTTCCATAATAACATCAGATATTTTCATCAGAGTCACACTGTCATCAATATTATGAAAATTAAAATGTTAATTAAGATATATCCATTGTAAAAATTAAAATGTTAAAAATTCCAGACTATACAGCACTGTGCCCACTTATAGTGATGCTGTTGTCAGAGGTCCTTGGACAGCTACTGCTTCAATTTCAATTCGGGCACCCTGTGAGGAAAATGAAACAATTTGTTGTAATCATTTTGTACAAATTGCAAGCTCTATAATGCCTACTAAAAACCTATAACTACAGCAATATAACATTTTTTTTTTGACACAGAGTCTCGCTCTGTTGGCCAGGCTGGAGTGCATTGGCATGATTTCAGCTCACTACAACCTCCGCCTCCTGGGTTCAAGCAATTCTCCTGCCTCAGCTTCCAGAGCAGTTGGGACTATAGGCACCCACCACCACGCCCAGCTAATTTTTATATTTTTAGTAGAGATGACGTTTCACCATGATGGTGAGGATGGTCTCCGTCTCTTGACCTCGTGTTCTGCCTGCCTCAGCCTCCCAAAGTGCTGGGATTACAGGAGTGAGCTACCATGTCTGGCAGTGTAACATTTTTAACATTAAACTTTTCAAAGAAGGAAAGGAGAAGGAAATATTCACCAAGAACCTATAACGGACCAGGTAACCATGCTAGGCATATCATATATAGTTTTAGCGCCTATGATTCTCACAGCAGCCCTATTAGAGAGACGTTTTCCCCTCAATTCACAGAATGATATGCTGAAGTGCAAGAGTAATTCATTCATCCCAAGTCATAGGCTAGACAGCACAGGTCGAACCCTTGTCTTGTGATTCCAAGTTAGAGCTCTTTCTACTATACCCAGTATCTTAATAGGTTTGATAATGATCATTCCAAGTAACAGTTAATTAAAGCAATACAAATGACACTCTTAGGAAATAAATTTTCTTCAGTAGAAACTGCAAGTGGGAGTCAGTAAGAGCTGCTTTTTTATATGCAGGAATATTTGTGCTGCTAAGCTTCGAGTTAGAGTACCAAAATCAAAGCAATGAGAAATACGTGTGCCCCTGGTTTACAGATTATTTTTCTAGTGGAAGGTTTAGATTTTTAATTATACAACAGCCAGGTGAAATTTTTATTGCAGAAGTCACAAACAACCCTGGCTCAAATTTATAGTCCTCTAAGTAACATTACAACAACACAGCTGCTATTCTGATTCTATGTTCATGTGTTGTCTTAAAAGGTTTCTTAATTTTTTTCATGCATGTAATATGGGGTATTTCCTTTCAGACTGTAAAGTCTTGGGAAGCAGGCTCTATTTTTTTTTTTTTTTTTTTTGAGACAAGGTCTCACTCTTACCCAGGCTGGAGCACAGTGGCTCGATTATAGCTCATTGCAACCTTCAAATGTTACTCCTACCTCAGCCTCCCAAATAGCTGAGAGTTCAGGTGTCCACCACCATGCCTGGCTAAAGGAAAATTTTTTTGTAGAGACGGAGGTCTTGCTATGTTGCCCAGGCTGGACTAGAACTCCTGGTCTCAAGTGATCCTCCTGTGTTTGCCTCTCAAAGCACTGGGATTACAGGGGCAAGCCACCTGGCCCAGGGTACTTCTTTTAAGTTTCCTTTCACAGTGCTTAGTTTACTTATAGTTAGAAAACACTGTAGAAATTGAAAACTGTGTACATTAGTCATTTAAAGTATACTTACTTTGGGCAAAGCAGCAACTTGGTAAGCAGCTCTAGCAGGAAAATTACTCTTGAAATCTGAATTTAGAAGAATTTCAGTTTTTAATAGAGAAGAGTTGAAAAAATAAAGATCAAGTGAAAAATTTTAATTTAATTTTCAGATATTGTGCTGTCACATTCTATAATTAAGAATCTGGCAAGTGCTTGATATACTAGTCAGTTCTTAGATAGAAGCAACATTTTATTTTTATTTTTATTTTTGAGATAGAGTCTCATTCTGTCACCCAGGCTGGAATGAAGTGGTGTGATCTCGGCTCACTGCAACCTCTGTCTCCCAGGTTTAAGTGATTCTCCTGCCTCAGCCTCCCGAGTAGCTGGAATTACAGGCATGTACCACCACGCCCATCTAATTTTTGTATTTTTAGTAGAGATGGGACTTTGCCATATTGGCCAGATTGGTCTCAAACTCCTGATGTTAAGTGATCTACCCACCTTAGCCTCCCAAAGGGCTGGGATTACAGGTATGAGCCACTGAGCCCAGCCTTAAGCAACATTTTAAAAAAGAGAAAACATTTGTTTGATAAAACATTTTGCCATATAATTCCTATGATAGTTAATACTTTTCTAAATGTCTTAGCTTTCTGGCAAAGAAAATGAAATACTCTAACATTTTGATCTTGTGTGATGTGAATGGGGTTTTGTTTTTAAAGTAATATTTATAAACTATTTATCTAAATAGGGAACAACTGCCCATCTCCAGCAATTTTGGCAAGTACTTCCTCTGCCAACTTTGGTCTTTTCTGGTCATTTCTTCAGGAGAGAATAAGTAATAATGCATTTTCCATTTTTTTTTTTTTTTTGAGACAGAGTTTCACTCTTGTTGCCCAGGCTAGAATGCAATGGCGTGATCTCGGCTCACTGCAACTTCCACCTCCCAGGTTCAAGCGATTCTCCTGCCTCAGTCTCCCAAGTAACTGGGACTACAGGCACTCACCGCCATGCCCAGCTAATTTTTTGCATTTTTAGTAGAGATGGGGTTTCTCCATGTTGGTCAGGCTGGTCTCGAACTCCTGACCTCAGGTGATCCACCTGCCTCGGCCTCCCAAAGTGCTGGGATTACTGGTGTGACCACTGCTCCCAGCTGATGCTTTTTCCATGATATACCTTTGTCTCATCCCACTAGGTGGTAGGAACACTGATTTTCCCCACTATGACATTAATGTTACTAATAGCTAACATTTGCTCAGTGCTTCTAACACACCAGCTTCTGTTCTAAGTGCTTTACGTGTTGTACTGACTCATTTAATCATTCCAACAATCCTCTAAGGTAGGAGTATATTATCTCTATTTTGCATAAGAGAAAACCAAGGCATAGAAATATTAAGTAACTAACTAATGAGTCTGAGAGAGCCAGAATAAAGATGGTGGCTGGACCATATAGCAATAGTAAAGAAAACCTATGAATAAAAGATTTTTAGGAGTTTAAAAAGCCTGAGAAGGGTTTAATGAAATTAAGCTTTTGAAAAATAAATATGTAGTGCTCAGTACAATGTTTTAGGGAATGCAATAGAGATGTCTTAGAACTTTTTCATGGGGGTATACAACACATT